ACAGAAATGGCACTGTTTAATAATACACAACCTAGTGTATTGTCTAATCCAGCGTGAATGGCAAATATCATGCACATACAATGGCTATCTATGTGACTGTTGCAGGTATGTCTGTATTAAGCCATGAGGAATGTTAATGGAAAAGTGACCTGTGTCTGAATGACAGAATGCCGACACTTCAGTAGATTGATGAGGTGGGCAATGTTCGGTATCTCATATCTGAGAAGGGCTTTATTATACACTTTAAATGTACCAGTATGTGACAGTTAGCAGGCGTATTGGAGCAGTGAATAATGCATGGGCTTAATGTTGGTTCAGTTTACAGTGCAAAAGTAATCAGATGACAAAAGATGCAGCAGATGAAAAATAATGTGGACTTTTAGTTTACAAAAGCACTGTTTACTGTGTAGAACTTTATTATTATTCATCGGAGGGACCCTGACTGATCTGCAGCATAATCAGCAGCAATTTACAATTTCTTGCCTTTTTTCCCTTCCCTGTTTGTTCACCAAAGCACATTCTCAGGAAAAGCAATCGAAAACATGAGGTGGATGACAGCATAAAATTGAGATGAAGATCTTTTTTTAACAAGACTGTTCTTTAACAAGGAGTGAAAGGTGTTCAAAACAAAAGCAATCGGGCTATTGAAACTCTCAGCACACCACACCTGTCACTAATTACTGTCAGTGAACATGCGTGCTCATCTGGGTTATGATGGGGCATTCGTCACAGCACCAAATCCAGTCATGGCTAATTACTGGCAAAGATAAGAGAAAGCGCAGAAAAGAGAAGCAGTGTTGTCTAGTTGACTGACAGGTGTCCTGTATTCAACACCTACACAGGCTCCAACCAGGCATAATGAGTCCTGAGTGCTGGGCTTTGGCTATGGCATAATAAATTCTCCCGCAGCTAATTATCTTTTAAAATGCCTGTCAAGAAATTATGACTGTGTACATTTTCAGGACAGCTGGCATTTTGAACTCTAAACAGTGAAAAATTTCAAATAATACTGACTTTGGTTATTTTGGGTAAGTCAGTTCCATTTTTTACTCATTCTTAAAGCAAAAATAAAATAACTTTGGGTTGAGTTCTACACTGGAATGGCATGAAGTGTTCTGTCTACAGACTCTTGTGTGGATCGTTTTCAAATGCTGCTATAAAAAAACAGTGCTTTCCAAAATTAGCTCTGCAGCACAGGAGAAGTGTGTTTCTCTTTACCTTAAACAAGTATTCCAACAACAGTTTCATGTAAGTTTGTCAAGGAAACTTTTTTTTTGTATAGCTCAGTTCACAACATGTGCCATCTCACAGCGTTCAACACAGTAAGGTATAGACCTTGCAAATTTATCAGAGAGTAGCAGATATTTTTCATTGTATATTTTGACTTTTGGATTTGTATGTGACTGCTATCGTCAATCCTCCTAAATTTACCATTTTGTGAAAAATGAAACTAAATATTGATAGTACATTGCAATTATACATTTTGCATGCAAACATACAGTTAAAATACATTTTATAGAACTAAGAGGTGTACAGCATGTGTAAGCACATAAAAAAAGTATAATATTACATAAACCTATTCTAGTGAGAAAACAGTGTTTCTCCTCATTGTACAGGATGGAACATTCATTTATAGTGAACAGTTTTCATTTTTATTTTATTTATGATTAGGATTTTTCCTCACCATCCATCTATGGCTAACAGTTATCTTCACTTACCAAAGCACTTAAATGAAAAGTGGTACGTATGAAGTCCCTTGAGGTGATGAATTCATGGAGGACTCTAACTCCCATACCTCGTTGCTGTCTTGTTTTCTTTCAGCCCATTGTTTTTGCTTTTTCAACATACAGCTATTATTTTTGGTTAAGTCACACCAATGTCATCACCCACTTTTCCCACAGCAGCAGGCAGCTGTTGTTTTTTTGTGAAGAAACTGTGATGAACCACCTGTACACTACCTGGCCAGCATATTGCTGCAGCACGGCAAAATGAGCAAGTATCTGGTGGAACACTTGCTCCAAGACTAAAAGAGCTTTATGTCTTTCTCAGTAGTCAAAATGAACACTAAAATAAGACCGGACTTATTGGTTAAATATATATAATATGAAATGAAATATGTGTGATTTGTGTCTGTGTATGAAGATGAAAATGGTGGAGTCATGCATGCCCACAGTCATTGCTCTGTGTGAATGAATGAACAAACAGCAATTGCACAGTGGTTGACTCCCTATATTGAGATATGGCAGAAAGAGCTACTATGGAGCACAGTATGGCCTGATAATCTAGTAGACGTGGGACACCAATGCGGTAGAACGTGTTCATGTTAGAACATAAGATATTGCACAGTAGCATAGTTATTCAAGTACTGCTCTAGATCACCACCAGTGATCAAAACCCCTACACGAAAGTAAGAAGGAGATCTCCCACATCCAAAATGACAAATATCCAGAATTTTACCAGTCATTTTGTAGGAATTGACAAACATTGATTCATGTAAATAGTGTGAGTCTCCTGTTCTTCAATTCTGGATTAATTCACAAAAGCAAAAGTCTTACTTGGTGCTAGGGTTAGGAGATACCATTATGTTGATGGAACCAAGAAAGTTTCATCAGCATAATACTAAATCATTTTTGAGTAATCTTGGAGTTCATATTAACAACAAGCAAACATTTAGCCAACATTTGGATTTATAGACCTATTAACTAGGGCTGCAAGGTGCCTCTGTGGTTTGCACTGTCGCCTCACAGCTGGAAGGCCGTTCGCGTCCTGGTGAGGACACCCGGGATCTTTCTGTGTGAAGTTTGCATGTTCTCAGCGTGGGTTCTCTCTGGGTTCTCCGGCTTCCTCCCACAAGTCCAAAAACATGTTGAGGTCAATTGGTTAAATTCTTCTAAATTGTCTGTAGGTGTGAATGTGAGTGTGCTTGGTTGTCTGTCTCCAAGCCCTGTAGTAGACTGGTGACCTGTCCAGAGTGCCACTTGCCTTCGCCCCAAGTCAGCTGGGATAGACTAAACCCCCCCCCCCGCAACCCGGTGTATAGATAATGGATGGATGGACCTATTAACTAGTTTTGCGAGACAGAATTTGCATATTTTACGAATGCTTCATACTCCATCACACACTGAGAAACATCTGCACTGACACCTGAGACTAACTGACCAACTCACACTGCAGCACTTTTGAAAACATCTCCCAACTTTTTTTGTGAAAAAGTAACCCAGACAAAAATCTTTTTTCATTTCAAAAGTGCTGCACCCATAAAAGCTTTTGGATAACAGTGGCTTTCCATGATACTAATGTTACAGCGGAGAGGCTTTTCTTCACTGCTGGAGCTAGAACAGAAACAGCAGAGCATAGCGCTCAGCTTTACTTATTCCAGAACTACACACACACACACATGAACTACTGTAATTTCTGTCCTGACAATGAAACATTTAACTAATAATGTTGATCTGTAAATTCATAATCTTCATAAATGAAGAAGACAATCAGTGCTTCTAAATTAGTGCATTGAACATAAAAAAAAAAATAACTAGCAGAGAACGCACTGGAAGAAAAACTAAAAAATAGGGTCCTCTTTTATTGAATCAAGAATCAATTATCTGTCAAATCGAGACTCCAAGTTTTGCATTGAAAATTAATGGTGAGGAAGTAAGCGGTGAGGGTAAATAGCAAATGAGATTGGTTGGAACATAAACATAATTCATCGGCAGAGTTTGGGAAGGAGGTACAGTAAGTTAACCCTGTTTTGCCTTGTTTTGTTTTGTGACAGAAGAGGAACAATTGCAAGATAAATTACAGCACCGTTTGAATTTAATGTTGCTGTTTGATAGTAAAGTTAAGTCAATATTTATAAGCATGAGCATATCTCCTGAGACCAGAGGCAAGACTCATCTCTGATGTCATCAAAATGTACAGCCTGGAGCTGTTCCATAGACATTGAATGGGATACTGAATTAATGGCCTCATAAAATGTCTGTTTGAGCTGTTACACCCAAATGAGCTTTTAATTATAGTGGTGCCTTCTGAAGTGAGGCAGAAAATATGACCCTGTCTGCATAAAATCATCCTAGTTACTGCCAGTGCCACAGTCAGCATTTTCATCTCCTGCAGTTCATTCTCTATTGAAGTGTACATCTGCATAAGATCATTGATTAAAGGAGAAGTTAACTTTTCATTGGTGCAAATGGCAATAAACATCGTAAGTCCCAAGGTGGGTAATAAGGATTCAAATTTATTCTTTTCCATGTGTTTTAGTATTTATTTTTTTAATAAATTGGATTTGATGTATACTTTTCTGTTATTCTGCATACCTTGTACCCCTACCTGAGAAGATATTTAGAGAAAAATCGGCCCTTATATTCTATTACAGCTGGACACTATCATCACGCTTTGATTCATTTGTTTTATTTTTTGCATTCAGTGAGATTTGTTTTATCCCAGCTGCTTCACTTTATTTTATAAATGAACTTTCTTCAGAATGGTTATTACACATTCACCTTGTTAAAATGGTTGATATGTACAGTAAATATCCATCCATCCATTATCTATACACCGCTTAATCCTCACTTGAGTTGCGGGAGGCTGGAGCCTATCCCAGCTGATTCAGGGTGACTCAGGGGACACCCTGGACAGGTCGCCAGTCTATCACAGGGCTACACTTAGAGACAGACAAGCAAGCACACTCACATTCACACCTACAGACAATGTAGAATCACCAATTAACCTCAAACATGTTTTTGGACTGTGGAAGGAAGCTGGAGAACCCGAAGAGAACCCACACTGCACAGGGAGAACATGCAAACTCCACGCAGAAAGATCCCAGGCATCCTAAACGGGATATGAACCAGGCACCTTCTAGCTGCGAGGCCACGGTGCTAACCACCGAGCCACCTTGCAGCCCCGGTACAGTAAATATGAGTAATCATAACTGACACATAAGTTAAAATCCTCTTGTTTTCTTTTCTCCTTTTCCCTATCCCTCACTTGTTTTTTTGCAGATGTCCTCCTGGTCACATGATCCGTGTCAACGGGACCAGAAAGTCCTGTGTCTACACTCTGTGTGCTACCAGGCCTTGTCACCGCGGCACTTGTGTGGCCCAGTCACCCTCTAAATTCACCTGCCACTGCCCAGAGGGCTACAGAGGACGCCACTGCGAGACAACACTGGCAATTTACAGGGAGGACGTGGGCCTGAGCTTCAGCTCCCTCTTCGCCATCTGTATCTGCTTCATGGCTTTATTGGGTAGCTATTACATCCACTGCATGTAACACAACCATGCACATTTGTTTGTCTATTATGATTATTTCTACAATAACACTTACCATCTCCAGGAATTTGGAAACGCTGATAATAGCAAGCAGTCTCTTGCATTTTTTTAGATTAAATTTTTATTGCGTTCTATGAACATACACATCGTGCAGGTGCAGCAAGACAACCTTCTGCATATATTAGTGTATTGTTGCTACACCGTAAAAAGTGTCCCCAATATTTTTTCAATCCAAATCCCCCCATAGTAGCATTTCTAAAGCACCTTAACCCACTCACTTCCCCAAAAAAATACTGAAGAAAAAAACAGAATACATAATATATATTGAAATGATATATACTGAAATAATCCCAAACATTTGTCTTTAAGTCTGTTTTAGAGTCAACTCAGAACACAATCTCCTGAAATTCCTTTAACCGTCATACCAAACTGCATATTTTAGTGAAGCTACTACTGTAGGTGAGGTCTGTCACACAGGTGGCATTAAGGTGATCTGCTTGATATGCAATTATAAAGGCTGAAAAAAGCTGGAATTTCTAGATGGAGCACGGATCTAAAACTGACACATGAAAGAAATGGAAGCTCTCCTTGTTTCTTTGCCACACTCACACACAGTATGATAGTAGTGCACCAGATGTTTCTAATTATGTTATAGATGCTTCTTTGATAATTAGAGCCTTAGTTTACCCCTAGAGCCTTGTTGTACAGAATTGTGGGTATAGTAAGACCCCAGGGACAATGTTACCACACTCAGACTAACAGGGGCCTGACAAGATACAGCACTTAGAAGTGGATGTAATAATTACTGCACGCTGCTCCTATTAGCTTATGCTCCTCATGTTTATCTAGATCTCCCACTACAGCCACATTTTTATGTCTGTATGAAATCTAAGTGGTGTACTACAATGAAACACTGGGTTCAGTGGGAGTTTTAATATACTGAATTGTTGCTCCAGTCCTGATAGTTATCCCTCACAATGTCAGACATCTGAAGTATGACTTAGGAAGTAGCGTCTGAATCTCTATCTAATGACTATATGCACAAAAAACAACTAGTGTTGGCTGTATGGAAGCCTATAAAAGCATTCCTAAATCAAACTGTCATTTGCATGTACTTTTGACAATAAACAGTACTGTACAGCTTAAAGTCAATAATGTACTGAAGATACAGCAGTTCTCACTATTGTCAGGTTTTCTTTACCAAAAGGTCAGAAAATCTCTGCAGGAATCGTAGGTTAGGACTAGAGCTTCTAAACTGCGTTGGTAATATACCAGCACTTCCTTTTGCCTGTGGGCGGACGGACTGAAACAGACTGGTGTCTGGTTTTCTGCAGTTAAAATCCACGTTTTCTTTCTTCCTGCCTGTCTGTTTTTGCTTGTTGAATATTCATCTACCTGTACCTTTAGCTTTGTATTTCTATTCCTAAAGGATCCACCGCTGAGAAAGCGCCTCGGGCACAGTCGTTCACAGAGAATTGTCAGCGCAATGACATGTACCCCCTTGTTTAATTGAGGACAATGCAACACAACAGTAAAGAGCAGTATGAGACAGAACACAGAACAAGAAAAGAAAATAGATCAGAGGAGTGCAGAATAAAAGAGAATGCCGCACAATACCAAAAGAAAACAAGAGGGAGCTGAACAGATTACAAAGCAGAGGTAGCGCACAGCATAGTGAGAGCAGGCAAAGCAGGAGATGCATAGTGCTGAGAAGGATGGTGTCAGTGTCACACTGCTGCTGGCCATGTCTGCTTGTCTCATTGGTGATTCACAGGGCACCTCCCTCACACCCTGAGACCAGTCAGACACAGTTCAAATGATCGTTTCTCCTTCTCTTCTTTTCACCTCCTTTCCACAATATTCCCTTCAATTTTGGCTTGAGGCTCATATTAAATGCGACATCCAAGCTTGATCCTGCTGAGGCTCAGTTCTGTTTTAAGTGTTAATTACTTGATTTGTAGGCGTATAAGGTGCTGTTTACCCAAACCTGCAGAAATTGAGATCAATGCTCTAGGGGCTTTGGTAGTAATTTCAATCGGTAGAGCATTCCGCGCTCGATCGGTCAAGCGTTCCTCCCTCTGAAATTTAAGTAGCAGCAAGAGAGACTTTTTTTAATGCCTTCGACAAATATTGCTTGTGCAGACTCCAAATGTTTGAGCAGCAAGAACAAAAGAAGGGCAGCTGCTCTCAAAGAAAGCGGTTCATTTGCAAATGTTATGATTGGTGATTATCAAATTCTATACTCAGAAAAGGTTCATATTGGTTTATGTCTTTCAGTCTTGTTGTCTAGTCTACTATGGTTTGCTTTTGGATGGATTCTTATTAAATTTGTAAAGCTATTCATAGTCCCTTGTGCTTCAAGCTTCGGTTCAGTGAACCCTTTTGTCTGACACACTGATGTGACTGTGGGTATAAGTCCGCCATTGGCCACATACTTCATGTGAAATTCTCTGCTGTGTGTTATTGCTTTGAAAATCCCTTTCGCTATGGTAAACAGCCATTACCGAGCAGCAACCTATGCACTGAAAATAGCAACTTTTGACAAAGATTTGGATGATGCTAGAAGACAGGTCAGCGTGGTTCTTTTGGTGAATGGTTTAAAAGTTCTACAAAGAATGTAGTTACAACATTTGCTGTCCCACACGGACATTCTTGCATGCTTTCCCATATCTGTTGGAAAAAGTTTCAATTTATAACAGCTTTCCAACAAAACCTGTTCCCCTCAGACACTGTTTTACATGAGCTTAGCACAGGGCTTGTGATTGGTTTGAATGAGTGCAACGGGATCATTGTCCAACACTGATTAAGTTATGTGGAGATAGGTCTGGCTTTATGAGATAAGTGGTCTCCTGAATTATACTGAAGTTGGAGGGTGAATATTAGGAAGTTGAATTCCCCAACCATTGCCATTAATTTTGGTACTAGCATGCTACTAACAATCGGATTTGAATGTCTTTGTTGATTCTCCTTGTCTTTGCCGCATCACCGTCATCAGATCAGCATTTTCAATTTGTTCACACTTTATTGACTAAATACCTGCAAGTGTAATGACATTCACATGACGTGGTTAATAAGGCCAACTAGCATGGTGACCATAGTACAGTTAAGATAAGTTAAGTTCAAAGCAATGCCAAACTAGAGTCTTAAAGAAGGTCTAGCATGAGAACTCCGGCTCATATCCAAAGAGAAGTTACTTTTTCTTCCATTGATTATAGAAGGAGACTAGCAGAGCTGAATTTAAACAAAATTTTTGAGTTCATAAATGTACGCATGGTTGCAAACAAAGTCCAAGTGGCTAACTCCACCAGTAGTAATAATTAATAGCCTAGCCCTTTGAATTTATCATGTAGCTTGTATATTGACTTGGCATTCCGCAGATGTGAATTTATTTTTTCTGTTTGCTTATTCTGGCTCCTACATGTGTAGCTGTGTGAAAATATCATCCTCTCTTCACATTCACATCCATGCCTTCTTCATGTGCTTCCACTGCCATTTCTCTCAGCACTGTTGTTCTGTATTGGAACCTCAGTTTATCACTGTTGGTTTGACATCGACATGCTTCCATCTATTTCAGGAGCTTTTTCTCTTCATCCATTCCCACTGTGCAAACAAGAGAAAAAGTTTATAACAATAAATAAATAAATACATTCAAAATACAACTGTAAGCAAACTGACTCGGTAGGGAAAATTCAACTCAGTAACAGATGAAGTCGTTTCAGCTGATCTGTAATTTTAGGGCAATTTTAACCAAATTTTTAAGAAAAGATGGATACATTTAACACATCCACATACTACATATGTATAGTCAGGCTTTTAGTAAGTTTAAAGGGGAAAAAGGGGGTTTCAAAATAATAATAAAACTAAAATAACTAAATAATACATGAGGATCATAAAACAGCATTTTGAAAACTGGATGTAAAATTTGTTACCTAAGAAAAAGTTTAGATTGAAACTTGTGTGTTTAATGTCACTCTGATGTTATCATTTGAGATGTTCGTGTAGCTGAAAGAGGTTCTCCTTTTCACAATTTGCACTGAGTTTGCCACATTTTCTTGTACAGAAACAAGCTGAAACATGAATTGTAGGATTAAAGTGTGAGCAGTCAGGTTTTGCATGTGTGTCGCAGTGAGATTCTTTGGTCAGTTGGTCACAATGATGTAGAAAGTATAACTTAGGCTGAAAACTGTCTTGAAACAACCGTACTAGTAGAGCTGCATTTCTTAACCTATCACAGGCTGATTCGTGTACACCAATTGGCCACAACATTACAACCACTGAAAGCTTAAGTGAACAGCATTGATCATCTCATTACAATACACTTTCTGCTGGGAAATCTTGGCATTCATGTGGAACTTGCTGTGACACATACCAACCACCTGAACATTGCTCAAGACCTTCACACTCTCCCACCACAACGACACTGCCGGACAACAGCATCTTCCACCAACAAGAAAATGCAGCTCAGTATTTAAACAGGTGTGATGCAATGTAAGAGGCTGTGGCTCAGGTGGTAGAGCAGGTTGTCCACCAATCGCAAGGTTGGCAGTTCAATCCCCGGCCCTCTCCGCGTGCTGAAGTTTCCTTAGGCAAGACATTGAACCCCAAGTTGTTCTTGATGGCAGGCAAGCGTTGCATGGCAACTCTGTGAAAGCGCTTTGAGTACGACTAAGGTAGTAAGGCGCTGTAAAAGTGCAGACCATTTACAATTTGCCTCACTGTAAAAACAGCTCAAGGCTCAAGCATTGATCCACCCATATGCATGACACACCTTGTAGCAGCATAATAATGACTGTTGCTATTTGTTTGAAAGGATTATATGAGCAGACTCTGTTGTAGGGGTGTAAGATTAAGGTTTATATATATATATATATATATATATATATATATATATATTTATTTATTTAATTATTTATTTCTTTTATTTAATTTTTTTACCTAGGTAGGCTAGATAGACTGGTTTTAAATAATTTGTTAC